CTAGATTTTCATAAATTTTGACTACTTATATAATTACGTGTCAACATTTTGAAACTTTTATAGTACCAAGTAGTGTGAAAGAACGGACTGTGTGTTTCTCAGCAGCAAGAACTATTCTTGGGTTTTAGTGCAGTGGATGGCTTAATAGAACACCACTATGGTATATAGTAGTTACCACCATTTTTAGTGTCAAGATTCACAAAAGTTTCTTACAATGCACTTAATTGTAACTTATTTTCTAAAACTGAAAATATTGAACTCATTTTGATGAAATTACAATTGCCATACTATATACTCATTAAGTAAAAAATAATTTTGAAAAATTTTGTCAAATATTATGAGCTTTATATATTTACAGTTTATAAATATTTGGCTTTTCTTTATTGTAGAGAGATATATGAACAAATGGTAGAAAACACGAACAATTTTCGTGAATAGTTTAGGAAAATGTAAAAATAGTCAAAATAGATAGGATTCAGTTTTCTTCAAGCACTGACCTCTCCAGTCGTAAGACATTTCTTTGTCTTCAAATGTGTTTCCGAATCTAAAATTCTTTTTTTTCTTTCAAATATCTACTTCAGTTTTGACGTCTTTCAAGCGATTCCCTGATCGGTCGTTGAATTTCGTGCAACAGATATTACCGAGAATGTGCTCTTTCTTTCTTCTATTTTATGACAGCTGTAAGCATTTTTAGACATGTTTTCTTTTCTTAGTTTTTGTGCAAAAACAACTTTTATTCCCTGAAGTTTGCTTCTCCACCTGTATGGAATAAGATACATTTTTGCTTTAAAATCGAGTAACTTGTTAATAGAATTCTCGAAATAACCTGTCCACTGCTCCTGACATTTTTCGATAATCATTTATTAAAACTATACCATTTCCCTCATAACCATGCGTAAGCCAAAAATATCTAAATTACGCTTCCGATAAGTTATTTTTATGTTCATCACATTATTATTACAAAGATAAGATACATAAATTTAATGTCAAACAAAATGAAATTTTGACAAAGATTGATTTTTTTAAAGTTATTATCGATAATGTCATCACACTTCTTTTACAAAGATAACACAAACAAGTCTTCAATATCAAACAAAATGAAGATTTGAAAAGATTGATTTTTTTTACAAGATTGATTGTCAGCAACAATCAATATTTCTGCTCAATCACTTAAGAAGATTGAAACTTATTTGGTATTAAATTAGCTATGATCAGTTTATCAATTCAATCTGAAAAGAAGATCGAAATTACTAAGTAAATAATTCACCATGATCATGGAACTTTTTCTCCAGAAGTTAACTGGAATCTACAGCTAGGCCTAGTTAGGCTTAGCTATAACACGATATAACATGATATAACATGATTATATGATATAGCATGATTATATGATATAACATGATTAACGATATAACATGATTAACATGATATAGCTAAGCCTAGTTAGGCTTAGCTATATCATGTTAAAAAAATCATATTTTCAGAAGTAATCTTGATAATAAAATTAATTCCTTAACTATGCGTAGCTAGAATCTCTTTTCATCGATTACATCACTTCTAATTCTAATAAATCCACAATTTTTTTCTTTCAAATTTACGCAGCATTCACAAAAGACAACTCATCCTCCAACCTTCTGCCAGCCATGAATGGAGTTATTCATCTAACTCAGCATAAACTTTATCAATTATCGGAGTTTAAATTCAACTACACTCTTTAAAATTCGTATGAACGTTCAGTTTCGGTATTGATTTTAAATAGCAAGCGATATTTAAAATTTTTCAAGACCAAATTTGGATAGGTATTATACATTATAATTTTTACGATGTTGCGGTTTGAAATGAAATACGTATATGCATGCCCTTTGCTGGCTTTAACAGTCGAGAAAACCCTTTAAATAATTATAAGCACCGAAAATAAAAATTAAATTATTAAACAAAATGGAAACAAATTCTTATCGTTTCATCTTTGCCATACAAAAAAATTTAAATGCTTCTCAAAATTAATGAATTTCATCTTCAGATACCACGAAGTTCAAATTTTGAAAACCTTTTAACTGAATATAATGTTTTTAAATGAAGTTTTAATGTTTCAAAATGTTTTGTAATGCAAATATTTTTAAAATAAATGATGAAATCAACTGCTTTAATTTGAAAATTTAATTGAAGTTCTAATTTTAAAAGCATGTAAATGATGGCACTTAAATTTTCGGATTAAATGACAACTTATGACTTCTGTGATTATAAAATAATCATTTTATTCAGCTAACGTTTTAAATGAGGCAATTTCATTTCCTTTGGAAAAGACAGAGTTTTTAACTGAGTTCTGGAGATTTTGAATGCGTGAAAAATATTCCTGGAATAAAATGTCATTTAAGTTTTCCTCCACAAATTTCTTTAATTACCTCTGAAAATTTGTTTAAGTGGTTAGAAATAGCAATCACGTAAGAAAAATTTTGAAGACGTTGAATTTTTGTTCAAATTTTTTTAATTTTTTGTTTATTTGTAAAGTATTTAAGTCAGAGCTTGCATGGAACAGTAGACATGGTAATGGGATGTTAGTTTGTTGTCTTTTACGCCCTCCTTTGATAAAATTTTGAATGATAATTTTTCTGTGCATATCATTCATATGATGCTGAATTTTACCCTTTAAAGAAAGGGTGATTTGGAATTTTGCTTGTATAAACCATAGTCTTAAAAAAAATGAGAAAAAAAAAACAGGAAGAAAATGGAAATTAAAAAAAGTCAAAATTATTATCCGTATGGTCAAATTTAATGAACAAGACAAGGAACTTCACAACCAGTGAATAACACAGTGATGCTCAAAATATTTTTAAGCAAAGAAAACGCGTTGCTCTTGCGTATAAAACACTATTTCTGATAATTCAGATCTGGAGTCCCTGGCCGTATTATTCGACGCACTATAGGATTCTATGTAAAATCTTAATTATCAGGTAATACTACTGTTTGTCTAAGATAGGCACTCTGACCGCCACTAAGTCTGCGACAGTCTGGTGCTATGGAAACAAGAAGAGGCCATTTTAGGGAGGGTAGCTTCGATGAAAGATGTCTCTTCTGTCGCCGAAACTAGTTCTAAAGAGGGATCCCGCACCCCTACTTGAAATTATCATACCTCGTTACCATAGTCACCGCCACAGCTCCAGACGAATGTCTGGCAGAGTACCTTTCGGAGACAAACAGTATACACCTTTTTTGTTTTTAAGCAAATGAAACCAGCTTACACTTGTTTATGTTCATGTATCAATTGATTAACATTGTAATGCAATACGTTAAAGATGAATACAAATAGGAAGCATATAAAAATCTCCTGAATAAAAACCCATTACATGTATATTTAAATATAAAAGTATTACAGATAAACTCGGGCAAGGTATGTAAGTATTAAGACACTCCAGTGCGTCTAATAATTTAGTCTAATTATTATAATACACTAATATAATATCTGATATAATAAATATTCAATATTTGTATATTATATTGTCTAATATATCTAATTTTCGAATTTATATTATATATCGTCTAATTTAACCAATTCATACAGGAACGTAAGCAAGTACAAACCGGTTTCAGTGGCGTAAAAACAATAAAGCTCTATAGTACTACCTTATAATTAAGATATCACATAGAATCTTATAGTGTATCTAATAATTTGACCAGGGACTGTATTAACAGTCATTATGTCATCTTTTTCCGGAAGCAAAATTTTACTGTGCTAATGGCACGAAATTCAAATCTCCCGTGAATTTTGGAGCTCCTCTTATTTATGAAATATAAGACAAGGAATACAATTTAATAAAGTTTGAGGCAATGTTATAAGAATTATTCAATAGTTATTTTTTACAATTTTCAATAATTTTTTAGACGAGACGAAAAAACTAAAGAAGTGTTCCAGAAATACCTTATAACAACGGCAATAAGAGGTTGATGTAGTGTGATATTATATTCTTCATTTTATTCGCTTCTCCCACCCTTTTTGATATGCATTAATCCAGTAAAAGAAAGCGAGGATATTTAAATTTTAAAACAGGGAAGGAGACAGAGATAATTATTCACCTTCTACTTCGTTGAAAAGGAATGAATGACTCCGAAAAGAAATAAGGAATACTTTAATTTATGACCAAGACTTCTGCAAATACACGAGAAATTTCGCTCAACTTCCGTCAGAAGAATGTTTTAATCAAAAGAAGATCTGCTTTCTGAGCCTGAAAGCTTAAACATAATATAAGAATGGTGAATATTGAATCTTCAAGTTGAAATTGCTACTCTTAAATGTGAATTTATTTTCACGATGGCCACTTCTTATTTGGTACATTAGGTATGGTTAAAAATTTGTGTATCAGATATTTTAAATCAAGTTCATAATCACTTGTAGCCGAAGAGTATTTAATATTTATTACAATTATATATTCAGCTAACTTTAAAATAATATTTTTACTAAATAAAATTTACGTTAGCTCGTTTAAACAAAATTTAGGAATTCCTCGTAAATTAAGTACTTGCACTTCAAGATCACAGATACCCACACGTAACGTATGACGTCAGCGAAAGCCGATCGATTCGGAGTAAAATGGCGCGTTTAATTTCAGCCAAGTTAGAATAACGTGAAGTTAATTAACTAAGCACCGTCTCGCACAATGTGTCACTTAAGAAAATTGATACTTAACTTCGATGCATAATTAGTTTGTTTATGTGCTACATGACTTCGTGCATCTTTTTGTTCAGTAAGAAATGGATAGTGAATATAATTGAAATCTTTGTGAAAGAATATTTGTGTAAGAATATAGAATGAGCGAATTAAGAGAATTGATATTTGAGAAGCTTGGCTTACTCGAAATCGAATGGAAAGAACAGTTACTAACAAAAACAAATGCCACATTTCAACCAAATATCCGATCGAGATACCCACAATACGTCACTTGCAGGTATCCCATTTATAACTAGAAATTTTAAGGCTTAAAAGTGAATTTATTCTCAAAATGGCCACTTGTTACTAGACCGTTAGATAAAGCTGATATAAGGCTATCATTTGATTAACATAAGAAAATGGCAACGAGAAATTTTAAGGCTTAACGACTAGAAATTTTAAGGTTTAAAAGTGAATTTATTCTCAAAATGGCCACTTGTTACTAGACCGTTAGATAAAAGCTGATATATGGCTATCATTAGATTAGCATAAGAAAATGGCAACGTATTTTGCTCTAAAGTATATAGCGCCTCTCTGCAGTGGTACGCTGAACTATTAGTTGAATGAAAAGTCGATCCTTTTCTTTATTATTTTAATTGAATTTATGAGACTCTTTTTAATCGTGCGTTTATTTGTTTGATTTTAATTCTGTTAAAAGTTTGGATGCTTTTCACTTTAGATGCTGAGAGTTAATAGAGACTAAGTTTAATTTTTTAAACAACCGAAGTAAATTACTGTTTTATGTAAGTATTTCAACTTCTATTTTCTTCTTGTTTTTAATTTTATGTTCGTAAGTTAAATGTAATTAATTGTTATAAGCTTCGCATGTAAGAATAAATTTCGACAAGTATACTGCTTACAATTATGACCTAAATTATTTTATCGATATAATTTTTTCTTTTATCTATTCACAATTGAACATATCATGTAACACACCAAAAAAAGAAAATGAACAGTAGTAAGTACTAATATGACATATGCACTAAATTGTAGATTGCTTACTCTCTAAATTTACAACATCACCAAACATCTTCTAATAATTGGTATTCGACTGTAACTTGGGAAATTGATAGTCCACTGTGACTAGGAAAGTTTGGAATATTTGCCTCTGTAACATCCCAGAAGCGCTCCGTTAGTGTTAGTTAATGATTTCCTTTCAAAAGAAACAATTGTTATTGCCGCCACATGTATGTCTTACGCTTATATAATATTCATCTACGGATACAAAAAAGTCTAGAATGAGAATTTACGAAAAAAAAAATAAATAATAATAAAATTTTTGCCAAAGCCCTTTTCTTCGGGACATTTATTTGCTGCGGATTATCTTTGTGTTATCTATGGCATATTATTCAAATGTAGATGTTATAACAACTGATTATATTTCTACAACAAATGGTAAAAGACTCATCAAAATATTTCCTTCGTTCCGTAAAAAATCAATATTTCTTGTTAAAATTTTATTTGACGCAATCAACACGAGTTTCAGCAAACTTAAAAGAAATTGTAACGTCAGTTGAATCAAAATTGGAAAAAAAATAGGACACAGTCCTTGGAAATAGGACACAGGACTTTGGAACATTTATTTTTCACAGATATTAATTAATATTTTTCCATAACATGTTATTTAAATATGGCTCTTATAATATCTTATAACATTCCCACACAAAAAATGATTAAAAAAAACATATAATATTTAACACACTTTCTAAAATCAATAGTTCTAGCTTAAATTTTATTTGACACAATTAACATCATTTTTCACTAATTTAAAAGAAAATGGGGTGTCAGTCACGCTAAAATCGAAACAAATATGGCAAAGCGTATCACTTTTGAATAGTTATTTGCCATACATATTATTCTTGTTATCGATAAAATGTTATTTAAAAATAAATATTATAATACATTATATTTCTATTAAAAATGCTACTACACTTATCTGAATATTTCTTTTTTTTCTTCTTACAATCAATAGATCTTCATTTAAATTTTCTTTGACACAATCAACGACGGTTTTCACTAACTTAAAAGAAAGTGTAGCGTCAGTCGCGAGGAAAATATTTTGCGAGGCATAATTTCCTTCATTTTTGATCCTCAAGAAAAACTAATACAAAATCCATTGTCTTGTGTTCGAAGATGACAAAGTTGATTAATCGGAAATTGTTGTCTGAATGAATCTTGTTACTGCCTGTCATTTAATTATAATCCCATTACAAAAGGTCTTTTCAATCACCCTTTAACATAGAACTAAAATCGTTAATTGCAAAATGGCGTCTCATCGTCTTTTGTTCTCAACAACTGATTCGAAAGCAGACGATAATGAACTGATTAAGTACAAACGCGTCCACTTCATTGATTGTCGTCTGCTCTTACCGCTCAGTTAAGTATAAACTCCATCCCTTAGTGAATATTCGCGTTTACGGGAAGAAGAAAACAATTGCGCAAAAAAGAACAGTTTCGGTCACTGATTGCATTTAACATTTACTGTATTGTAAACGAAATGTAATCCTTTGTGATAAAATGTTTTCTTAATTCCATTCACTGGTCTGATGAATTGCATTTGCTAAAGAATTGCAATGGTGATAAAAATGCCGTCTTGTTTTGTGAAGAAAGTCATTAACAATACAAGAATACTTCGGCAACTATTATTGAAATAGATAGAGATAAATACATCATTAAAAACAAAGGTTATTCTAAGACTTAATTTATAACAAACGTAGTTTCTCGTTAATTTTTATTTATTTATTAACGTTTTTGTATTCAACCATTACATTTTTTTTAAATAACAGTTAATGGTTTGGTGCAATATAAAATGAACCTGGAAAAGTAACTTAAATTTTCAGCATCTGCCTTAAGATGTTTTTAGTAAACTAAAACCACGTGTTCTTGTTCTTTATTTAATTAGCTTGAGGTAGAGAGGTGTATAAAATGTATATAAATTCAGACAGCCCTAAAAGGCTCTATCATTATGTATCTCTATAATATTATCTCCATAACTATTGCGAGAGATAACAGTTATTTATAGCTGATAGTTTAATGTTTCTCTCCGTCTAATTGAAAATGACATAGTAATTCATTTTAAAAAGTATAACTTAAATATACTTATGCAAAGGCTCTATATATAAGTAGATAAAAGACTTTTCTTTCCCAGTGACGCGACAGCCCATAGAGGGCCAAAGCCTACTGTGCCCATTTCAGTTTGCTTCACCTTTGAGCTCTGGGCTGCATGAACAGATGTTCCGGTTGCGTGCGCAGCCTAGTGTTTAATTCCCAAGCATGCTTTGTACTCCATTTTATCGACTCACTGAAAGAATGAAAGGCTGAGTCATCCTTGCCCGGCGTGAGGATCAAACCAAGGACCTGTGGCACGACAGCTCCACAAAGACTTATAGACTATAAAAGACTATATTTATTCTAGGCTAGGAAATTTCACGAAAACAGTTTTTTTTACTTAGTACTTAAATTATATAATAAATTACCATTTCAGTTCCAAAATATCCAAATATATTCTTCTTTTAAGCGGGCTTTATTTCAATTTGTAATAAACATCGACGATTTAGATCTCTATTTTACACTTTAAAGGAAGCATTTGATTTTTTATACCAATCGTGTGCCAAATGAATTTCTTATGTCACCTTTGTTATTTCTTATATAGTTTCATGCATTTTTTTCTTTATTATTACAGTGTTGTGTTCAACAATATAGTATTTTTTTTCTTTCTTTTTTTAAATTTCTATTTTAATCTTATTGTATTACCTTTCTCCGTCGCCTGGACAGGATTCTCCTCTTGCTGACGAATATATATTCTTTGTATTTATGTGTTTGTTTTTATTCCCAATAACGTTTCTGTTTGTTTGTTAAAAAAAAGTATACATAAAATTCATTATACCTCAAAAATATTAATCATACTGACATAGCTTCGGTTACAATTGATTAAAAGTGAAAATTTATAAGAAGCAATAAATAATTTGTCTTATAAACAGTGCTCCAGTTTTTACCCCTTTACCTCTTAGAAATTCCAAGATAGCGGAGAGAAGATAATTCGATCCTAATTTCGATGACTATATAAACTTTAGATATACAAATTTGTTCTAAACCAGATCTTATAGCTGATACAGCTTTACGAACGGAGTGCACTATAAGAAATTCCGGATCAAGTTATGACAAAAAGTACCTGCTCCAAAAGTGTTGTTACTTTTTTCAATAAAATCCGCTTTTACAGTAAAAATTTACGGAACAAAAAATCTGATATTCCGCAATTTTTATACTGTAGTATTCACTGTAGACGCCCGGTGGCTGAGTGGTAGCGCTTCACGCTGTCGTGTCACAGGTCCCTGGTTCGATCCTCGGGCCGGGCAAGGTTGACTCAGTCTTTCATCCCTTCAGTGGATCAATAAATGAGTACCAAGCATGCATAGGAACTAAACACTGGTGGTTCTGCGTTCGGTTGACCACCTGGCAGGAGCATCTGCTCCTGCACCGCAGAGCTCAAGGTTAAGAAAACTGAGAAAGGCACAGTAGGCCTTGGCCCTCCATGGGCTGTCGCGCCACTAAGCTTAGTTTAGTTTAGTACTCATTATAAAATCAATAATTTACTAGAAATAAATAATTATTATTGCGTCAAATTTTAAGTTAACAATGGATTTTATGTGCTCAAAGTCTCAAAGCGCCGATACTTTTTACCGAAAATTGATCCAGAATTTTTTACAGTTATGTCTGGTCACATATTCTAGTGTTAAAGCGCTACGATCAGAGTTTCTCACTTTCGTAAACTGAACCGAAAATACTTCTTTGGTAGAAGGAACAATTTTAGTTTCTTTTTTTAAAAAAAAATGAAACTAACGCTGAATTGGTTAAAAACAATTTTCAGCTCTACTCTTCTTAGTACCCGTGTTCAACAGCTAAAAAACTCGTCTATAAACAGACTTTTGAAAAGGAGTGGGTGTTAGTTATTATAAACGTCTTTTTCCAATTTTGAAACTGAAGTCAGAAAGTTTGGATCTATAATTTAAATCTATTGATCATTTCATGGATTTCATTTCTCATCAATTATTTATCCCACTCTCAGTAAACTGTTTGCCAAAACAGCAAAGATGCATACTTAAAGTAATAAACAATTCAAAACTTCTCTTGAATAATCTATCACAATGAATAAGCAATTGAAGAATAATTTAACGCTGATAAAAATTTGAAACTTTAACAAAAAAGTAATTTCGGTAACATGGAATAAACCAGCTTTCCGAAACCAATACTTTCATTTTGGCTTGCTATAGAGCCAGGGGCATTTTTCTTCTTGTGCCGAAATCTCCACCTACGTCACACCCTGGTGTTGAAGAAAAGATAGTTTTGAAAGTGATGATATGTTTCTACATCCTTGACATGTTTTATTGGGAGATGGTGCCTTTTTAAAGCTCTCTTCCTGCAAGAAACAGTCTTTCTTCTCTCTTAGAACAATTTCGAGTGATGCATAGCTCCCATTTCGATATCGGATTCTAGAACATCCAAATCTCCAGATTCGGGTAGTTTCAGGAATTATGAGACAATTCATATTGCTTCCAGGCACTTCAAATATGTTATTTGAAGTTTCGTTTTTTGGGGGGAATTTATAAAACAGAAGCACCTTTCTATTGCTGAGAAATAATGTCTAGTCCAGCTTAAAAATGGTTCAGTGGAAACAACTAAGTACATTAAATAAACTACTTAAAAAAGAATAAGGAATTGTTTGAACATTAAGTTGATATTTCAA